ATTGAATGATTCAGCTTTCTATCTCTTCTACTGCATCTGGGAATTTACCTGATGTTAATATCTTGACTGAATCTTTAAGAGAATTGGTCTTCATATCTCCCAAAGATGGATTTTGTGTAAGAGCATCTGCATGCTGTACGTCTTCTATACGCGACAACACTTTATGTGCCAAACTTTCTAGGATTCTTGAATAACTCTCAAGAATAGCAAGCCCAACATCCTATAAAATCAAACAATCAAAAACTTTTACAACTAATGTCTAATTCCATGATATGGGATTTGAAAAGGGAAATGTTAGTTAGTTAGTTAGTTAGTTACTCTATTGTGTTCGATTTTGCTGATTTCTAGAATGGATTGAGGAATCCCAGGGTAACGTTGTTTAAGAATTAATAAAATAGTCTCTGCCCGATCTCCAAATTGTTCTCTTTTTTCCAAACTAACACCCGAACCCCAACTAGATCTTCCATCTTTAGCAGACATCTTCCTCTTCCATATCACTACAGACGCCTCGATTCTATTCTTGAGGTCAACAATTTTATGATCAATCGTTAAATCCATTGATGAAAGAAAGTGATCCGGATCAAAGTGCTCAACCGTTATACTCTTATAGATATAGTCTCCCAAGCTCGCCCTTCCATTCTGAAACAATCAATAATCATCAAGATTCAAAAAAATTCTATAAAGATTGAAATTTTGGTACAAGTACCTTTGGGAGGGTTTCGGTGTAGCTTTCTGGGACTTCCATTTCCATTAGAATTTGTGCGTTAATGGCTAAGGCTGCTTTGAGTACTTGGTGAACCGCATCTTTTTGAAATTGTAACCATTTCTTTGTAGACTCTGATAAACCGTCTGTAGGGACCTTTGGGGTTGGTAACCACCATTTATCTTCTTCCCTCTTTCTTTGGCTTTTTGCTTCATTGTCGTCTTTAGATGCATATGTGAACTCATGTTCGCCTTGAAAATTATCCAAGCATTCCTGCATACCCCGACATCACATGTTAAGCCTAAATGTCCAACATCAGCTTTCTATGAGATCAGTGTTGTATGGATAACATTTAATGAAAAAAAAAGGCTTGTAATATCGAGAGGGCTTGTCTTTTTCTTACAATGAGCATCGCGTCAAGTTTCCTTAATGCGGGAATGTTCATGTGGAGGTCGCTCCGTTGCCTTGTAACCATAATCTGTTCACATTGTAAAAGTAAAGCATTTAATGCATTGGTATTCGATCCAAATCATAATTCAAACCCCTTTCTTCCCCATTTAATATTCAAGAAAAATGCATATATCGATACAGAGAAAGAGAACGTCTACCTCCATGTTTACACCATTAGTGTTTTGTTTTGAGGGCACAAATTCAACAATGTGATCGGTGACAGATAAGAGCCAATCCATTTCCTTCCGCCACCTTGCTTTTCTTTCCGGTGGCATTGGCTCTAATCGTGATTGTTCCCCAAAAACAGCAGCTGAATACATGGATCGAGAATCAATCAATCCAATAAAGTTTTCAGAAAATCGAATTATAATTCTGAAAAATCAGAATAGATAGGTGTAATATGGGTAGAACCTGCTAGATTCGTAATCGCATTTGACAAAGCCTGAGCTGATGAAACGCCCTTTCCTCCACCTGACATATCCTCGCCTAAAAGCAATTTCGCGAACTTTTCCTTCACCGTATCCAAATCTGATACTGCAACTCAATTCTCACCCAATTTAATCAATTAATCCAACGAAATTGCAGGTTTAGGGCACAACGAAATCATTAAAACATGAAATCCGAATAAAACTCGGGAAAAAAGTGGCGATTACCTGAGCATTTGTTGTCATTGTTTGTGGCGCCTTCATCACCTGCTCCGGGATTCATGTTTTGTTCATCCTCAGCTGCTCGAACCATTTTGAATTCGAGCAGCGAGGTTCATACGATGAAGATGAAGACAAACCGGTGAACAAACTGCACGCACGATTTCTTCTTTTATTTTTTTCCTTTGAGAATTAGATGAAAAAAGAGGGATTTGGGAGGTTGATTCTGCAAAGAAAGAATTGGGGATTCTGGAGAGACAACAATGGAGATGGTTAGTTAGCAGGGGGATTGAAGGATGGTGGTTTGCATGGAAGAAGGGGAAAAAAGGATAAAGGGTAAACATATACCACAATTATGTTGGAATTTTAGCCTGTGCAATTCTTTCGCAGAAAATTTAATTTTTGCATGTAAAAAACAGATAAATTGCATGTAGATAACTTAATTTAATTATTAATATTAATATTATTATTATTATTTTTTAAATTTTTTGAAAGGAACTTAATTTAATTATTATTTATTATAACATTGAACTTTTTAAATCTAAAACTTATGTTATAATTTTATAATTTCATCATTCTAGAATACAAATTAATCATCCCTGCGGAACACCCCAACTTTAATCATTGGGAATTAGCAACAATACGACATCATTTGCAATAATATTTTTGCAATTTATAATTCAATAATAGTTTCACATTACAAAAGTCAAAAAACATAATGAAGCAACTATCATCGTCTAAGGATCTACTTCCACACAACTCGAAAATTTAACTGGAATACATGTCTATTGCATAAAGTAAAATCGCATAGTTCTTAACTCTTAAGTCTTTATTTATGTATAATATTGTATAATTCTTAAGTTTGTTATCCTTTATGTAATGTTTTTTTTCATTGGTGTTACTAATTGGTGTTACTAATATGTTAAGTTGTATTATTTTATTTTCAAAAAAGCGTGTTTGATAATTTTGATGTTGAAGCCTTTCCTTCATCTATAAACAGAAGCTCTCACTTCACTTGTAAAAAACCAAGTATCGAGTTCTTCTTTAAAAAAAAAAAAAAAAAAACTATCTAAAGGCATCTCCAACCATACATTAAAAAGTTACTTTTACATTATAAATTACAGTTATAATACTCTAACCGTACATTATACCTAACACTATATAGAATGTTGGATTTTAGTTTTTTTTTTTTTTTGAACGGCGAGCGAAATATATTAGATAACAAAAAAGGGGCTATAAGCCAAGAACTCAAGCCACATTATAACAAAATGTTTGATAAAGGAGACATACATCAAAAGGACCAATCAAACATAGAACAATTTAGAACAATTTGATCTATTTTTAATCCAATTAAATGTATTTATATTAATATCGTCCGCCAAAAACATACACGCTCGTCGATCAGATCCGAAGATAATAGCGTTCCTCTCCTTCCAAATAGTCATTTTTAGTGTTTATACTATCTTTTACACTATAATTATAATGTAATGGGTTGTAGGATTTTAGTGTTTACACTATCTTTTACACTATAATTATAGGTATAGCGTAAAAAAAATAGTGTTAAGGGTTGGAGATGGTCTAACTCCCTCTTACATGTAAATCATGTGTACCCCATATGCCTCCATCTACTTCCTATAGACATTTTACATATATACACCATTCTTCATATAAAATACTTTTAATCAAACTTTTTTTCCTATGAGTCGATCCCACAAACATTTACCGCAAGAAAACTCATTGGATTACCTTGTTCTTACCAATTCTAGCAAGAAACTTCTCTAAGTCGGTTTTATACCCATCCATTTCATAACCCCAAACCTCACCAAATTCGATATATTTTAACATCTTGTCAATGAGAGAAGCGTAATTAATATATCTCTTGTTTTTTTTCCTAAACATCATAGTTTTCCTCCAAGTGCTTGGAAATCTATTTGATGTCGAAGGTTCACTAACATGCAACAAACTAATATAATCATGATTAGTACCACTCGGCCCCACTTCTAAAGAGGGCACCGGAACAAGTATCACATGGTTGTTATATAACTTCCATCAAATCATGGAGGCTTTAACAACAAATCAGAGATTGTAACCTCTCTCTCAACTCCAACACCTTCTTGATCACTCTCCTCTCTCCCTAATACTCCACCTTTCGTAGTTTCTTCATAAAAAATATCTATTTCAGTCTTATCTATATTTCTCTCATATTATTTGGTTATATTCAAGACCCGCCTTAAAATTTCTTTGATTCGGACATCATAAACCACACCTCTCATTGTAACCATCACCTTATATGTTATGATTGTAGGTTCTAATGCTTTCATGCACACCCTCCCAGATGTAATGTTCTCATCTTGATCTTCATCATCAAACATGGATGTTCTTCATATGTTTGCAATTTTTTTTTTAAGAGAATTAGTTATCCATGCACTAAAAGGCAACCCCTCAATTTCCACCCAAACTAAACATTCCTTAACAAAAAAGATTTTGTAAACGAGCATAAGTCCTTGAATTTTTTGGCAAAGCAAATCATGCTGCTTGAAATTAACATGAGAATTTCAAGCCTTAAACTCTATCCAAACCCAAGCACCATCAATGTAGCTAATCTCCAAGTCCACAAGATTCGTAGTGCTTAACACTTCATTTACTTCAACCAAAACAACACATGTTGAATCTTGAATACTCAATAAGTCTCTCGCATCTAACAATAACATAAGTTTTTTTTTTTTTTTTTTTTTTTTTTTAATTATTCAACGGCTCTCTTATACTCGTTCCCCAAACTTTCTGGCTACTACGTTCACAAAAGAACATGATAAACACTCATTCTGTTATTTTCAATATGGATTGGTTTCATTTTGTTGCTATTATTCTCATCTCTAAAAAACTTATATGTCGTAAATAATGATCATGTCCTTCGTATATACTATATATATTTGTTGCTAATTCTCCTTCTTCCACCCCATTAAGAGATGAACAAATGCAAAACATTTTCCTAGCTTCGATAGCTTTCTAGCAATGTAAACATATGGCACCTTTCCCTACGTCCCACACTAAGTCTTAAGTTTCCACAGACATTGAAAAATCCGTCATATCAAATGTTATTGAGATCTTATCCGAGCTTTTAAGTTAGGATTATTGACATAAAAATACATGAAAGTTTTGCGTTTGATTTTAAATGACTAGTTAACTTTTTCTTGAACCTTTTAGACCATTAAACTCAAAATTTACCTATCTAAAACCTCATTTTGATCAAAGTTAGTAGGTTTCCCGGTTACATATTACAAATTTACCCATCCAAAACATCATTTTGATCAAAGTCATTAGGTTTTTGAATGTTGATGTGTAATAAAATACCAACAAAAAGTAACCCACCCCTTTTTCTTTGATCCAATGGAATCCTACTCTTGCATCTCTCTCTTTGCCTTTGTGTACTTCCCGATAGAAACAAAACCAAAACCAAAAACAACCACACTCTTTCCTCGATCGTTGAACAGGTGCGAATTTCCCTTTTCTCTCTTTTGATCACAGGTCTAAAAAATTGCCCCATCTTCTTCCCTTTCTTTCACTAGTAACAGGTCGCAAATGAGATGATGATAGAGACGGGGTTGTTGTGGTTCTGATATGTGGTAATAGCGTCCGACTTGGTGAGTGTCAGTTAACAATGGCTCAATGGATGTGGATGATCGAAGATGTAGTGAATAGGGCCATGCTATTCGAGCCTATCAACGTGATTTTTTTCCATCGACTCTTGTTACGTGATTTTTTTTTTACCGATACCAAGCAGTGTGCCTCCAATCGCTTCTATAATGCAACCGCTGCTAAAGTGTTGTCACTTCTTCTTTAATGTGTTTTTATGTCCATAACCCTTAAAGTTATGGTTCATACCATTTTGCTATCAGCACCAATTAATTTTAGGTGGACGCTTTCCTTTATCAATATCAACTCCTTTTATTCTCCACTCCTAATCTTACATCTTTGTGCTAGCATTCCGATCTATTACCATTGCTTTTCATCCAACCCTAATCGTAGATCTCCTTCCCACGAATGTAAGCAATAACTCATTCACCGATGCACTAAAATCACATAAAACGCATGCACATGTCAATACATGGTCATATAGACTTCAATCACATGCAAAAGCTATGTACTAGCGATCAAATTGTTGAATTTGTTGGTACTAAATATACAATCTCAATTCTCAAGGATGCATAAGAACAAATCATATAGCACCGATTTAAGAAAAACGAATAATAAACAACCTCTCAAAGACATGGTAAGACATTGATGATCCATGTAGATGTGCGAATCCCACAGAGATTACAATTTCATCTCTTAAACTTAAAAATGCAGTTTAACTACATAACAGATGAAAATCATTGAAAGTTGTGTGAGATCCTAGGTGTAGCTTTCTAATCAATAAACACTGGAGTTAACAATGGCTTCTTGGAAAAATGAGCCTCTAGGTTCCCTACCACAAGATCAGCCATGGCTTTTACAGTCTCAACAGTATCACTCCCAATATGTGGCACAAGGACAACATTATCAAGACCAAAAAGTTCTTCAGGGACATGGGGTTCCTTCTCAAACACATCAAGACCTGCACCTGCTATCCGCCTTTCAACAAGGGCGGATACCAGTTCATGTTCATCAATGTGTGGGCCCCTCCCAATGTTGATGAGAAAACCCTTGGGACCCAGCGCATCGATGACTTGGCGGTTGATGATGTGGCGAGTTTCTTCTGTTAGTGCACACGCCACAACAAGGATGTCACAGTCGGAAGCTAATTCAACTACACTGGGAAAGTATTTGTAATTTGATTCTGGTTTTTGTGATCTGGAATAGTAACTTATTGGACAGTTGAATGCTTCAGCCCTCTTTGCAATTGCTGTACCTATTCTGCCTAGACCTATGATTCCCACCTTCTTGCCACTGAACTGCAACAAGGATTATATACAAAAGATGAAAAACACTAGTCCAAGACGATACTGAAAACATAACAATTGAAAAAAAAAATCATGATCCGACCTTTTCTCTACAATGTAAATAGAATGAAAGTAATTCTGTTGGATAGGTTAAAAGATTGAAGCATCTACAGTTTGATTTAGTAAAAAGGGAGATGATGATGATGATGATGAAATAAAACCTTAGTAGTCAATTTGAAGTCGCCTTTCTTCCATAATCCACCTCTAACATAACGATCGCACTCACAAATCCCTCTCAACGTTGCCAACATCAATGCAATCGCCAAATCGGCCACATCTTCGGTCAACACATCGGGTGTATTAGTAACCCTAATTCCTTTATCCTTACAATGCACTAAATTCACCTTGTCTAAGCCTACGCTAAAACTGGATACAATCTCCAGAGCCGGTAACGAGTCAATCAATTCGCGGTCGGCACCGACGTTGGTGTTTCCGACGACGGCCCGAATGGAACCGGAGTTCTCCTTGAAGAAATCGTTTTTCTGAGTGAGATTCCAAAGGCGGAAGAGATTGAAGCGCTTATCGAGTTCTTGTTCGAGGTAAGAAGACATGGGGTAGGTCATTAGTACACCGATGGCTTTCAATTCCATGATTGAGGTCGGTAAGTTCACTGGCCAGCAACCGCTATGGGGTTACTTTCTTTTTCCAGGTTTTGATAGCGTAGAGGTGCACATAGCACACCACACACGGAGCAGCTGGACCGATCCAAAATAACTTTGAAATGGAAGTAGGGGTGAGCAATCCCAAACCAAAAAACCAAGAATCCGATCAAAACCGACGAAACCGAAACCAAAAAAACTGAAACCGACGTAAAATCGACGATTAGGGTTTGAATTTTTTTAAAACCGAAAAACCGGGTTCGGTTTTAGTTTTTACCTAGAAGCCGATCCATCCAACCCGAGAAACCGATCCATACTTAAAACCGACAAACCGCCCCAAGAAACCGACCCATCCAACCCGTGAAACCGACAAATACATGATTGTATTTTGGTTGTAATAAACTATTTTGGGATTTGGTTGTAACTTGTAATAAACTATTTGTTGTAAGACTCATGTTTTTTTGGTGTTTTTTGAAGTATTTAAATTGTTGCTTCATTTATGGAAAATGGGTTAAAACCCAAAACCTAAAACCCATGGGTTTAAACTCAGAACCCGTGAATGTATGGGTTGAACCCAAGAAATCGAAAAACCGCCCAAACCGACCTCAGAACCCGAGAAACCGAACCACCAGAAACCGATCCTATTGGGTTCTGAAAACCAGAAACCGACCATTTATGTGTTGGGTTGGGTTTGGGTTCAAAACCGATCCAAACCGACCCATGCACAACCCTAAATGGAAGTGTGGTGCTGCATCTACAAGCAGTAACGGAGCTTGAACATTCGAGTTGGGGGGACGAAATTAAAATACGTAGAAAAAGTAGAGAATAGGAAGGGGGGCACAGTCAATTTTTTTAGTTTAAGATCTAATATGTAAAAATTTTAAAAGTAAAAGGATTAGTTATGAAAAAAAAAAACAAAGGGGGCTATAAAGTGAATCACAAATTTTTTTTTATTAAAACAAGAAAAAGATGGTCATAAATAGTTGTGTTTTAGAAATCTCTAGATATAATTTTAAAGTTAAAAAAACATTTTTGGAAGGTTTATGAGGTTTCAGAACTTTTAAAAAACAGTATTTATTTATTTATTTATTTATTTAATTTTGCTAATTTTATTAGTTTTTGGCCGTTTCTGTTCCTTGATTAAAATATTTGATGGGCATTTGCATAATTTCATTACTACAAGATCATTTATGAAGTTTTGTCTTAATTTAAAAATAAATAAATATAAAAATATATTATTTTTTGGACGATATTGCCCTGCACACTGTTTTTATATTAATAAAATTAATTTTTTTTACAGTTTTAGGATCATATTACCCATGCACACTGATATTATTATTAATAAAATTCAATATTACAGTTTTAAAACCATATAGTCTCTGCATACTGTTTTTATTGGATAGATTTTACAGCTACAATGTTGAATAGAAAAATATGTGAAGGTAGGATGATATAATATAAAAAATAGATGAAAGTGTGTTGTTTTTTTTTTTGCTATTATTAATCCTTTATTTTACGATGGTTATTGAACTTACGTAATATTGTAACAATTTCAAAATCACTAAATGTCTTCATATGTGTCCGTAAAAATTAGAGCATCCATGATGTCGTCCAACAATTTCACCATTCTGAAAATAAATCGACCAAAATGAAAGTTATTATATCAAAAAGCATCCAAAAGGTTGAGAATAAAAATTTATATATATAAATTATTTGCTAACCTGTTATACTTTTGATCTTCGTTTACAATATCCACATGTTGAATCAAATGGTTACCTTTTAAGTGTTAGAGGACCAATCACCACTTGTACAAATTTTAAGTACTAATATTGCAGCAACAATTGTATTGAGCATCAGCTGGAATTAACATAAAAGCTCCAAATATTGAAAAGATGAATAAACTTTTGATTATTTGAACCACAACCAAATGGACATTGCTCTATCCTCTATTTCGAGCCATGTGAAATACGTACACTCAATAAGCTATCTCACATAATCCATGTTTTTCCCACCCAAACATCATGTGGATTTTGGACTGAAAACTCAAAATGAGGGACCACTTGCAGATCAATCTGTAAATGTAAATAAAATCCATAATCAAAAGTAGCTTTCAAGAGAATCTGATCAGTTTCATTCAGGCATTCTGTCAAACATCTAACATGAAAGTCAAATCATTGGATTGTAATACTTAATTTGATACATATACTCCATTCTAATGTGCATCTCCAAAGTAGCAAATGAAACAGATAAATCCTTAGTCATCCTTATTTTGACTTTATGAAATAAAGTGAAGATGAACTATTAGGTTGTATATAACCCTTAACATCATCCACCATCTAAATAGTTTATTTAGTTCCGGGCATATTTATGTTTCCCATATAGTGAACTACAAAATTTAGTCCATGTTCAGAGTCTAAAATCACAACATAGAAACTGGAAAAATACAAACTAAACATTTTACATATAGAATATTATACCTTTCAAATTGAAACTATCAATGAAGTCTGATACACGAAGCATGCAATCAGGGTGTCACATGTAAAAACGTATTTTTAGTAAACAGAAAGCATACCGGCAATGTTGCCTTCAATTAGAACATGATTGTAGAAGCCGATGTGACAACCCGATACTTTCTAGTTAAAAAAAGTCAATTTTCGTCAAATAAAATTTCAAATTTTATTTTGTTCCGTTTAGTTCTTGTGGTTTAGAAAATAATCTAAAATATATATTTAGAAGTTATATATGTTTTTAGATCCAAAAACACTCAAAAAATCAAGATTTCCCTCGAAAAATCAGCAAACTCGTCCAGCCACACGTTTACGATCGTAAACCCCTGGTTCGTAAACCCGTTTACAACCGAGAACCTATTTCCGACCACAAACCCAACCGGTATAAAAGTTTTTCCCGGAGAGATTTTTCATTTCTCACATTTTCACCCGAAAACTCTCTCAAGTTGCTTCCAAGAACCTTCCAATAACATTCATATCTTCAAGAACAAACCTTCAAATCTTCAAGTTTTTCCTCAGGAACACCAAGAATAGCCTTCATATCTTCAAGGGCTGCAAACCCAGTTTGCAGCCGCAAACCAGGTTCACGGCCGCAAACCCTGGATCCCAACCGCAAACAACCTTGAGCCGAGAATCTTGGCTGAAAACCTTTTTTTCCCACCTCAAACAAGTATCGGTAACATTCCTAACCCAAAAACAAGTGTTTTCTAACACTTTAATTAATGGTTTCGCTAATTTAAATACAATTATGTGTTTAATTATCATTAGGATACCGTTAATCCCGCGTACTCCAACTCGATGGTCATCTTTCCGATTTTGTTGTCAAGCACGTGCACATAATCAACTGCAAGTTCATACCCCTATGCTTTTTACTATTTTTAACGTTTTCAGGGGGATACAAGCCAAACACAAAGAATTTTTGTGTTTTTATACAAAGGATTTCAACAGAATTAAAACTTATGCAATTATTACAACCAATAGATCATTACATTTTATAAAATACTTAGATATTTTATCCTTTTTGTAACATGCAGCATAAGGGAAGTTTTCAACTTACAACCATAATCGTAAAGTTTTCAAGACAATACATGAATTGAATACATAACATACATGCAAACTATAATGGGTATAGTTTGGGAATCAACACACAGTTTTATCAATTTCAGAGCTTATACATTAATAAACATATAAACTATGATAGATGTAGTTTATGACATACAATACTATTTTCTGAACACAAGAGTACAACACTAAATACTTATTTAAGTATAATTATTTTTACTCTACAAGTATACACACAGTTTCAAGTACAAGAGAACACTACAACACTACACGTAAACTAGTTAATACAGGGTTGCGAGGCACTACTTCAATTGTACCCTTCGAGGTGCAGACTAAATCCTACCACGATATAACTAGAGTCTCCTGGTGGGAGAGCCTGCTATTTGTGAATAGATCTATTCGGGACTGACAATCCCACACCTAACTGCTAGCTACAGTTAGGCAGGCATGCCTGGGGTAACAAATATCATACTATTCTGACGCTTGAAGAACGTCGCAGAGGTCACTAGGTGTAACACCCATTTATTTATCAAGATAAATAAATTAATTAATGAACAAATGGTAGCCTAAAATAAATAATTATATATGTAGGGTGTTAGGTTCGAGGAGTTAATTGCCACATTTTTGGAAGTCGAGGGTTAAAAGTGTGAGTTCGGGACTCGTTTTATAAATATTTATGAAGACAGGGGCTCCGTGGTAACTATTTGGATTTAATTTAAAGAAAAAGGTGCTAAATATGTCATAATTAAGGTATTGGGGGCTGTTTGGTAAATTTTTTACCTAAGTTGTAAAGGATTTTAGTGCTAAGGGTTTAAATGGTAATTATCGGATTCATTTTGAAAGGAAATGTTATATAGAGGGGCCTTTCCTTCCATTATGGAGGGAAGTTTGATGAGACACGATATTAAACTGTTGTATTGCTCTCCGTAACCCTAACCCTGGAGGACCATACAACCGCCATTTCTCTCCATCCTTATGCCCCTCACCGGCACCACCTCCACCCCCATTTTCCGATCAGCAAATGGCCACTATTTGAACACCGATTCTCCACCACTCTTCATCCCCTTCTTCTTCTACAGTCGCTGCCACGAGACGTTGCATCCACCACCTGCTACCACGCAAGTCGGAGCCATCCAACCGCCAATGGAAGTCGTAACCACTGCCATGGCGTGCGATGTTGATGCTGCGTTTCGACGACGATGAGACTGCCGCCTGCTGCCTTGGTATTGAGCGCCTTTGCAATGTGGATGTCGGAGGTGTAACCAAATCGTGAAGGTGTCACCGCCACCTCCCTCGTTCCTGTTGCGTCGTCATAGGTCCGCTGCCGCCGTTAGCCACTTTTGTGATTCCTTTGAGCTCCATCTGTTGCTGTCATCAATGATTGTATGTGCTACCGTCGATTCCGGCCGCCATACGCCACCAAGAAGGTGGTTAGGTTA